GCTGAAGACTTTCGAAAATAAGGGGTTCCGCAAAAGACTCGTCCGCAATGGCCGCGGCGCAGGCGCCCGCGTCCTACTTGCGGGATTACTGTAGTAGACGGTGGGTTCAGAGGGCCCGTCTCCCGCTTTCATTGACCCTAGGTGACAAATTGTAGAACGAGATTTCTGCAAAAACAGAAGCACTGATGGGCAGTAAGCAATTTTACAAGTTAATAACGCGCGCTATTCTGTCGTCAATAGCGCGTCTTTTCGAGGCATTCAAACTCTTGACGTTTTCATTTCAATGCGTCAAAAGGCAGCAAATCAGCCGCGTTGCGGGCGAGGGTGGGGTAAAAGGCTGGACTATGCGCAGGCAAATACAACTGATGTCAACCAAGTGCTTTTTCCGAGCAGCTACGCGTGCGCACCGCAAGGGCCTAGCGCGGCAACCCGACCGATGAGGCAGGTTTCAATGTACAAGCTATACGCGCGAAGCTCTGTAGGTTTGCTTTTTGACTGGTGGAAAAGGGCACAGAGTTGACACGGACTGTAAGATTGTTCGACAGTGATTCGCCAACAATACTTTTGCATGAAGGAATTGTCATGTCTTTGTTGTGGAAAATCAGCGCGGGTAAAACAGCAGTAGAGCGCACACTTTCTCAGAGCGCTTTGTGGTCACTTGTCCGACGGATTTCATTGAAAGAATACTTAATTAATCCCGAATCAAACTTTGCGTACACTTCGGGGCGACGCAGGCGTCTGGGTTAGTTTTCGTCATCGATCCAAGTCGATCTATCGATTTTTTAACAAACTTTGGGCTGAGGTTTTGAACATTGATATGAGGAGGTAAGTGAGCATGCTGATTACGAAAGCAGTTGATCACAAAGATATCCCCTGCATTTATTGATTTTATCGATCTTTCGCGAAGTTAGTAGTGGGGGTTGATGCAAGGGATACTTATGGATATCGTGTCACTTTCTTACATGAACGATACCATATTAACGCGAAAGAACGTCTCAAGGTGCACCTAACACAATCTTACAATGTGTTTATCTCAATAAACATGAACGACTCGCAAATATATCAAGTCGGCAAGACAAAACAACAGAAACACAACAAGAAAGAGAGATTGGAGCCCAAAGACGTGGTGGCTCGTTGGTCGTAGGTTCTTCACTGATTCGCCAGACTCCTCCTCCGCTTGGCATAGTTGCGCGTCGAGCTATCGTTGTGCCATCTGTAAACAAAGACTATGAAAATGAAGAAAGCATACGATATTACACAAGTGATAATGGGAAAAAGTAAAAAGGAAGGGAAAAAAATAAGTGTAGGTTTACATACCGGATATAGCAGATATAAACTTATATTTACAGGATAAATGTGCATGCTGACCAAGAAAACATAATTAATAGAGGGAAGTACCTTTGAATGTTGGGTTGGACAGTGAGTGTTGCATAGCTCAGAACATGAATTTTTATCGCAGTGCATTGACAGGGACCGAGCGAAGCCGATACCCCCAGCTGTTCCATATATTAGGTGTAATAGGTTCTTCGCATTTTTTGTTTTAGATTTTTCTTAGTATTTTGCGAAGCGTTTTGCGAGATGTTTGCATGCGTTCGAAAGCTCCAAGACTGCTATATCAAGTAGCTATCATTATTTTCTCATTTCTCAAGAAGTTAATTGGAAATTCGATTGAAAAGTGAAAGATCCGAAAAAGAAAAAGTTCCATTTTCGACATCTTTCATCTCCTAATTTTTTTCCGTTAATCGTTGATAAAATTTGTTCAACAAGCCTGAGAACAATTGAAAATAACAGGCTAATCACTAATCCACTTAGTGTCAGTGTTTGTATTCACGTCCTTTAACCGACCGTTTAATGGCATTTTTGCAACAGTGGGCGGAGCAAGACTGTCGCGAAGACGTTCGCGGTTTTGCGTACTTGAATTGTATGTTCCCCAAAACTCGAATTTTGAAGTAATCCATATATTTGATAATTTTATAATCAGAGACCCTCTTGTCTCGCAATTCTGAATTGTTCGGCAATCATCCTCTCACACGATGCCTTCAGATGCCTACGTTAACGCCGAAGAGAAGTCAAAAAGCAAAATTATCGGTACTTTTCCGTTATCCGTTATCCATTTTTTCAAAAAAGGATGTTGCTTTTTTTCTTGTACTATATTTGCTCCTAAATTCACAGGAAAGGAGTGTCACACTTCTGCCACGTGTCAAAAAAAATTTGACATGTCATCCACATGTTTAGCATTTACCAAGAGTTTGTATTGCCCTACCTACTGACTCAACTTCAATCGATTTTTCAATCAATAATGCCCCATTTTCGAGTAAACAATTTCAAAAATAAATATCATCATGATTATGAGTTATCCTATATTAATGAACAGACTGGACTTGCTCAGAATAGAGAATTGCAATAGATTCTCATCATTTTAGCGGCGAAACAAGCAGTAGCGAGGTACTTCAGCCATCATTTACAATCCTTCTTGGCTAAAATCGCATGGCGGACAGAATTTAAAGAAAAAGGTCATTTCTGAATTGTTCCTAAAAGCAATAAATGTCCTAATATAAGTTCTAAATTGTTCTTCTCTTATAGAAACCGTTAAACAGCTTTTAGGTGATCATAAATGCTCTTTTACCTTACCAGGAATACTTCCGAAAAAAAACATGTCAAATTGGATTAAAAGTGTCAATTTTTTTTCTGACACGTGGCAGAGAGGCGGTCCTCGTAGAATCTATAAAAAAATTGTTCTCAAACTAAATAGCGCATTCAAGAGAGCCTTTTGAAAAAATGGGTGAATGAACCGAGGGAAACAAAAAGGGGAAGAAAGCAAAACTTATAAATGGAAAGGAAAGTATCCTAGGAACCAAGAAATACCTCAAAAGCGATTTGGCTTTTGAGGAACGAAAGAAGTTCGTCATCGTCAAGGTGGGTGTATCCATGTATTTTATCGGTCACAATGGGAACATATTACCTGATTTTTTTTCCTTGTCACTATACATAGACTTAGCAACTTTGCAATCGCATTTGGCGCAATCCATTTACAAATTTGCTCCTAATAAGATCTAGATGAGGCTGTGATGACTTCTTTTATCCAGCCCAACAGTTTTGACTTCTTTTCCGCTTAGAAAGAGAGAAGTAAAAGCATGCACTGACGTTAGAATCGAGTCTGAGCTTGATCGCTGTCGGAGACAACGATGATGAGTAGAGCAGATTTCGTCAATACTCAGCATCTCATGTTGTACGATATTAGGTATTCTAGATATTTTACAGTCCACTTTCGCAGATTTTCTGTCAAAAGATGTTGCTGTTTGCGGAAAAGCGCTTAAGTTTTGAAGGAGCACTAACAAATCTTCTTTTAGGTACAGCAGCACCAATAATTAGCGATAAAATCGCTTCTAATCTACCCTGAAGTCGTCGCACTCGCCCAAGTTGGATTAGCCGCATCAGAATGCGGTTGGGCAAGACGGTGTAAAGAAATGAGTGTCGTTGCGGGGTAAGTGCCAACTTCTAACTCTCGCACATACAATCGATGTCAACCACGTCCTCACTTTTCCGTAGTGTCTACGCAGATTTGAAGGCTCAAGCAGTACGCGCGCGAACGCGGCACCGTCTTCTAGCGTTGCGCTTTAGCTGATCGGCAAGGGAGACATCGTCGATACCGACTGTATAGGCTGCTGCATGACGAAGGCGCAATATATTTGGGCTTGAACACCTTTTTAGCCCCAGAGCGCATGAGGCGTAGGATATACAACGGTGAAGTTACGCGATCGTCGTGTTCGCGCCCGCTCAAATAACACTGCTTCTGCGCCTTCTTCATGCAGTTGCCTTTTTTTTTTCTGAAATCGTATCGATCATTTGTAGATGCTCACAATGCTAACTTTTGGGGATTGGTACAAATACACTCGAATTTGCCCGCATCACAGAATTTGAACATTGTGAAAGGTGAATGCATCGTGACTAATCTAGCAAAGATCAGTACCGTGAACGTATCCGGACTCTTGCAAAACTACATTGAAAATATTGTGAAAGATCTGTGGTAGGTCTATGATCTTCTGAAAGATTTTAGAAATGATCTCTACATTCTTTCCGATATTGTTTTTTATAAATATTCCTCGATAGTTATTTCAATAAAATTCTATGATTTTTGGTAAAGTGTTCGCAGCACAGGCACAAGGACCAGTTTTTGTGTGGGAAATTCGTAAAAATTTTTTTGGGTCAATGGGGAATTTTTCGAAAACCCCTTTCAACAACCTTGTGCCGGGCCCTGATTGGAACACTAATCAGCGGAAATATGGGTTTCTAGCAAAATGGATCTAATTATTGCCGATACTTGCTGGTGCAGTAATGCGCGATTTCTGACCGCATGTGTCGCTTGTTGGAGCAGACCTTTTTGAAAAAGTCACTTGGAAAATTTGAAGAAGGTAACTGACCAATTTTACCCTCAGCTTGATAATCTAGCGTCTGAATTGATTGAATTTTGCATTAAATGTGTGTAGGATCAAGTTAATAGCTAATTAGCGATGATATTCAACTGATAAGTGTTCATGGCTTTTTTACCATTCACCCATTGTTGTTATAGCCTCATCGCAAAGTTTGTTCAAAATTTCTCCAGCAATACATGAGCAGTAGTTTATATGATCGGCTCCCTGATTCGTGTGGAGGCGGGTTGCGGACTTCCCTGATTCTAAGGATAAACCAAACGAGAGAGTACGAAATACAATGCTATAACGTATAGGTTTAACAAGTTAATCCTGAAAAAAAAGGAGGCCGCAACCCGCCTTCACACGAATCTGGGAGACGATGATACGTTCTTTCTTCATGCCAGAAAATGTAATAATTTCCCAAAATATCTTGTTGAGTGTGAGTCGAGAATGATTCAAGGTTGTTGTTCAATTCTTCAACATCACTACCTTTTATCATGCATGGTATGGTTTCAACATTGGAATGCACGAATTAGTTAAGGTAACACCACGCAGATTGTCATACAATCATGTCACATGCGTACTTTGACCGAGGGTAACATAACTATTTCTCTTTTCGTTCAAACATCCACGTATCTTTCGCACATTGAATCCACCTCATCGCGTTGAATGGCGTAGCAGATATTGCCGGGGATGCAGTCGTATGGAGTATCTCCAGCTTTGAACAAATAGCACGATTTTTCGACCTGTAATAAACTAACATAAACCACTAGCAGATAGGCATAGGTTTTAGTTTCAATTTTTTTCTAGTATTAGTTTTAGTTTAAATTTCACGTTTCACTTTCACTCAAACCATCAGATTACAAGCTTGAAGAAATCGTTCCGAATACAAAAAAGCGTGAACACACTCACTTCGGATTTCTTTATTAATTTGAGCAAGAGGACACTAAAGCTTACTTCTAATGATGCTTGAAACGTAAGTTTTTGAATGCGCAGTATTTCTCAAACTGTAACACTATCGTCAAAGAGTCTATGGTATATAAGTCTACATGATTGGTTTGAAGCTTGCACAGATTGTTTTTTAAGCAGCTTCACATGAATAAAGGTAAAAGCCTCATTGTGATTCGACGCGGTTCTTCTTTTTACTCAATAAACCACGCTTTCGAACTGACTCCTCTCTTGTTCCTCAAATAGTCACCAAAACTCAAAACTCGTTAACTCACATTTTCCGGGTGTAGTTGAGTTTTGGATTTCAACTGTAGAGTGTCATAAAGTTTGATATAGTCGTCCTCACCCCCCTATCAGGGCCCGGCACGAGTCGGTTTCTAGGGTTTTTAAAAACGAAGTCTCCCCTGACTTTCGGTAGTTTTACGAGGTCCCCTTTGACCTACCTGCTTAGAAGAAGATGGAAACAAGAAAGATTTACTAGTATGAAGGAAAAAACGTGAGATAAGAAAGAAAATTCAGGTTGGAGCTGATTACTATGCATGCACAAGAGTTTGCTATTGGAGCGCGATATCTAACAAAGCGATTCATGAAGAAATCAAGGCAAAAAACGAAGGAGAGGCAATGATATGAAAATGTCTTTATGCTCAGGGATAGATTTTTGATCGGGGAATCCGTCCATGGTAGGAAAATTCGAAACTTATGTGAAGTGACAGAAATATATGCTCCAGACGATCTCAGATCGTCTGGTGGCCGTCTGGAGACGATCTAATTTTGGAAAAGGTATTACTTCACATAAGTTTTCAAAACTTTTTACATAGGTCTTCCTTAAATAATATTTTACTTATATGGTACAAATTTGGTGTCAAAAGCTTATGTTTACGCTCTAAACAAGCAATTTGTTTACTTTAGCCTTGCTTTCAAATCGCGCGCACTTTTCGCCATACACGATAGAGCATGTCAATCGTGTGATAACCTGCCCAAAAAGCTTGTGTTGGACTAAATGGCGCTTATTCTTGGTGTTGGCTCCCGACTCGTCAAAAACGATATCTCCTTTGCTTTTTGCTCAAAAACGAAGTCCAGCCTGCTTCCAGACGATCTGTGCCGGGCCCTGCCCCCTATAGTTGCTCAATGGGCGAATTTGAATTTGAACTGGAGCAGTCTGGTCGCGGCAGAGCACGGCACCTCAACCCTCAGTTCAAATTTACGCATTTTCTTTTACTTTTCTTTTTTCGCCATTGCTTACTACTTATGTATTGTGACAATGTTCTCAACTTAAATCGAAAGTTTTGCAAGTTGAGAGTTGCTTCTTGGCCCAATGTGCAAAGTTTCACCAAATCCGACGGTTCCGACTCCTCGGCATTAATGGATTTCCCGTGCGACCGTGACGCATTCGACTTATTCGAGTTCACGAGATCGCCAGATTAATTTCATTTTGAAGTGCAGTTACCTCTGATAACATTTTGCCTATAGTTCCGGCTGAATTTAGTCTATTCATCATTTGTACGTCTTCGTTTTCGCTAAGAAACCGTAAAACCTCGACTTCGACCGCTTTTAGTAAAACACGTAAATTTTTTTCCATCTTATCATAAACAAACGGTTTATGCAAACTTATAGCCCAATTCTGAGTCTACATAATGCCAGAATTTGGATGCGCCTCATTCAAAGAGGAAGAAGTTATGGACAAAGTTGCTAAACTTGTGTGTCAACTTAGAAGCACGCTTATGTTCGATAAGTGATGATGTGACAGAATAGCCTTTGTTATTCGACATATCTAGCGCAGATTTTGCTTACTGGGCTTCATGGAAGTTTGCCGGTTGGGTTCAAGTCTATAGCTAATAGATGAATTACTGACTTTCCTGTGAGCAAATGCAATGCAGTTGTTGTCCTCGTAGCATTGAGCAAAGCACTCATTCTCACTTTTAACTTTCTGATAGTATTTGCCGCGTACCATCTCTACTCTGTCGAATACGCACGGAGAAATCTGTCTTGCCTGAAAGAAAGTCTAGCTTGGAGTGTGCACTTCGAGATTAGGATGTTCAGCACCAACCTGAACAACAAGAAGAAGGAAGAGCCACTTCTTTGACATAAAGCTGGCCGGCCACTGTATGTGCAAACCTATCAAATGCTTTACTACTTAGTCTGGACGTCCCTTAGATACCAGAGACTACGCCATTTGTTTCCAGGCATTTTTTACACAAATTTCATATTAAACTTCGCAGAAACAACGTCTTAAGTGGTGGTGGATTTTTCAAAATTTATGCCAATTCGGGTTCCGTGAGGTTCCGTGATATACAGACATAGCAGGAAGGTAAGTTCAAAGAAACACTACAGCATTAGCAAACAGAATTTTCAAGCTGCTAAGAGTTTCTTTGGAATTTTATTGTCATACGACTGTTTCCAAAAGAATTTGCTTCTTTTTGAATATTTGGTTCAAAGTTCAAAAGAAGAAGTGCCAACATTCTGTCTTGTCAACAAAACTAACATGTCATCTATACAGTTAAGAGGTTTTGCGAGAAGTCTCGCATTGGATACCTTCCAGCAGTAAGTCATCCCAAATTTTCAATTTCCAACATAAAACTTTGAAAAAACATCAATTACATCAGTTAGCATCAAATTTGAGTTGTTGACACACAAACGATAGAGACATGTGCGGACTGACAAAAAATTGAGCAATCCGGATCCTTTCCTGCCTGATTTTGCATAGGAAATTATTTTACTAACTTAGATACTTAGATGGTCCGTCTTGTGGCGTGCGGGCCCCAGTATAAGAGTTTCTATTCGTCCCTGTCCCTCGCTTTTGACATCCACGATCTTCTTGGTCGTCGTCGGTGGCTGCGTCCACGAGTTCCAGGTGCGATAATCGTATCCAGCTGATTTCTCAGCTGGTCCATTCGTTCCACGAACACGTCTGCCCATCTCGTTGGTGGTCTTCCTCGGGGACGTTTGGCTTCGCGAAGAATCCACTCAGATGTTCTTAATGTCCACCTGTCGTCTGTTCTTCTCATGATGTGACCGGCCCATCGGTGTTCCGCTTTCGCAGCGTATTTCGCTGGGTCACGAAAACGGGACCTTCTTCTTAAAGCCATACTACGAAGTCCGACAAGGTGTTGTTTGTGTCGGGTCATCTTCAGAAGACTACGCTCTAGCGCTCTGTGGGTGGTCCTTGAAGCTTTCGAAGTGGCTGCGGTGTCAGCCCAAGTCTCAGCTGCGTAACAGAGCGCCAGGAGAACGGTTGAGTCGAACTGGTGGGCACGAAGCTCCGGGTCCGTCAGTTGGTCGGTGGCCTTCTTCAGGGGCCCGAAGGCGGCCCAGGCTGTTCTTCTTCCCCTGTTACGTTCTTCCCTCAAGTCATTCTCCATGTTCATCGAACGTCCGAGATACACATAAGAGGAGGTCTCCATAGGAGTGCTTTCCAATTCCATTTCCGTATCTTCGCAGGGGCGTTCCTCGTGAACTGAGTCTTCTTCCGGTAGATTCGCAATCTGATCTTCTTTCCCACTTCGTTAAGTTTTTTCAGCATCGTCTCTGCTTCGATGATACTGCTCGAGAAAGAGAACGATGTCGTCCGCAAACGAAGGAAGGCCAGGAATCCCCCATCAGCTCGTATGCCTCTCTCGTTCAGTGACTTCATCACCCACTGCAAAACCGCAGTGAACAGCTTCGGCGAAATTGTGTCGCCTTGTCGGACCCCCTTCCCAATTGGAATGATACGGGGGCGATGGAACAGCTGCATCGTCGTTGTACAGTCCTTGTAACAGTTAGGTAACGTCCTCACGTAAGCTGGGTCCACTCGTTGATCGACTAGCGCTGACAGTATGGTGTTGGTTTCGACGCTGTCAAAGGCTTTCTCGTAGTGACGGTTAGGACGAGAGGCAGTCGGTACTCCCGGCAGACTTCTATGACTCTCGAAATCGTCTGGATGTGGTCCATACAGCTGAATCCTTTGCGAAATCCAGCTTGTTCTTGGGATTGGACTTCATTCAGTGTCCTAGATATGCGAGCGAGGATAATCTTCTTGAAAAGCTTGTAGAGCACACTCAGCAGGCATATTGGACGATAGTTCCAAAGATTCTCCCGTTCGCTCTTCTTGAAGAGAAGGACGGCTCTTGATGTTCTCCACTGGTCGGGAATGTTCTCCTTCTGAAGGTAAGATGTCAAGTGCGACGCGAGAATCTTGTGTAGTCATTGTCCTCCGGCTCGCAGAAATTTGACGGAAAGATGGTCTGGTCCTGAAGCCGTGGGACGTCTTCATGATCTGAATCGCCGTGCGCACTTCAGCGGGTAGAATTCGTGGTGGTACTTCTCCAGTGGGAACAACGGGCATCGGCACGGGTGTTGATGAGCGGAAAAGGTTGGTGTAATAGTTCTTTGCGATAAATTTCATCTTGTATCGGGAAAAAGTCAGAGTCCCGTCTTCGTTCAATAGTGCGGCCAGCGGTACGTGATATTCACAGAGTTCCCTTCGGCACTTCTTGAGACTTCGTATTCCTTCGGCTTCTTCCAGTATCTTGGCTTGCCTGTACCTTCTGAGATCCCCTTGCAAAAATGTTCTGCAACTGACGTTGGCTATCAGTCGCTCGAGATGGGTTGCGTTCGGATCCTGCCTCAAAAATCTTCTTCTTTCGAGCAATCCTTTGGTGGTCTTTAAAATGCGTTCCAAGTTCTTCTCAGAAGTCACTGAGGCGCACTCTCCACAGGCTCGCAATCCTTTCAGAAGCCGGTCGTAGTCGTACGTTGGGTCCTCCTTGATAGGCCAGTCACAACTTGACATAAGCTCTTCCAGCCTGTTACCGTCATAGATGACTTCTCTCCTTCTTGCGGCGCTGTGGCAGACCATCTTTTCCAGCTTTCGACTGAATCGTATCTTCGCTCGGAGACGGTGATCGGAGCCACTGCAGAAGGATGGAACTCTGAGACATCAAGCAAGCCCCACCTTCGGTTGGTGAGAATGTGGTCGATCTCCGCGTGAGTCGTTACATTGGGCGATTCCCAAGTCCACCGGCGATGTTCTTTCTTCAAGAAGATGGAATTCCATGGAAAAGTCGTGCGGCGGAGAGAAGCCCAAGAGACGGTTGTCGTTTTCATTTCGGAGTCCATATCGAAACTTTCCGACCCTGTATTAGTCTTCTAGTGGCATCCCGTTCTTCGCGCTGAAGTCGCCCACAACGAACTTGCAGAAGGACTTCTCGTTGCGGACGAGCTGCTCCACGTTTCCGTAGAAAATATTTTGAGAAGCGTATATTTCGAAACCATCGCTACAAGCGAGAAAGATGTTCGAAAAAAATTTGGTCTGTTATGTATAGAAACAGATAACAACTTTTGAGTCATCTCAAATGCTTTTGTAGATCACCGAATTTGATGATAAAAAAACGTGTCAAACTAAATTAAAAGAGTTGATTTGACGCTTTTGAAATATAATATTTTGTTAATCCAATAGATTCACCAATTCTGGATGCACATTCCAAGAGGAGGTAATGTTTGATTGCAAGAACAAAAGAAGCAGAATAAATTTTTCTTTGGAAACCTCGAAACTTTGAAAAAGCTCGTTGTCTTGACTGCTTTGGAAGCGAGTTGTTTGAAACATGCACATCACAAACGGTTGCTTTATTTCCTTTCTTCTTGCCAATAATTACTCTTCTTGGACTAGCCATTTGAATCGGTTTTTTCTCAAAATCAATTTCGTTGGATGAATGGAAAGTTATATGTCAAATGACTGAAGGAGAGACTTTCAAACCGTACCAAACTTTCATAATAACTGTTTACAATACTGGAAAAACTTGAAGTTTGGATTTGATGACGTGATCTTAATATACGGTAGTTTACGTCGTTCACTTATAAAGCGTCTTTAGAAATGCGCTGGGTTACGGAGAAATTGTTTCAATGCGTGGAATTTGAAAAAAAGTGAACACTTTCAACCAATGATTTTGTAATCTTCTTATGACAGAAGCTTTTTTGCCAGCATCAGGCTTTGATAAATCGATGCGATTTCTTGTCGACTACAAAAAGAAAGAAAACGTAACAAAAGTTCTGTTCCGAGAACATCTGCGGTGAGAGGCGATCAAAAGGGCACTCCCGACATCGCCAAATTCAGTATCTCGGGAATTTGATTGATCTGTATATCCCTGTATTACAACAAACCCCAAACTATGTTTATGCCTACAGAGCGAGCGAAAAAAAAAGAGACTTGTTTGACCCTGATCATTTAAAGCAGGCCTACATAATCATTTTCATCTCACAAGTGTCTTGTCAGTTGAGGCGAAGCGCAAGTGAGTTTTTGAATGTTTGCATGTATGTATCACTCAGTTTTTTTAGCTTTATTTTCTTCCTTATCGGAAAAGATTGAAAGTTTTGAATAGCCAAACTATGAGTTACGGTCTGACCAAAGGTTATCTTGAAAAACTCAATTTCCAGTAAGGAGGGTCCTAACCGTTTGCGTATTTGTTTAGTGATCTAGAAAGAAACATTAGTTTTTAGGATGATTCGGACCAGACTTTATACGCATTATAGCTAAAGGTTGCACTTAGACGAAAGCAGTCGCCCATGTAAGTGAGGGATGCAGGGAACGTTGAAAAATGAAGTTACACCGCCACCTTTCGCACCTTTCCCAAAATGGACCGGTCGTTTTTGTCTCGCGATCAGCCTACCTTGGTTAGCGATTATCAATATCAAATCCTGCAAACTACACTACCAAAAGTCAAAATGAGGAAGACTGAGCATGCAGGAACTTATCAATAAGTCAGTTTGTACACTTTCCACCCGAAAGCGACTCTAGGGGAAGGGACATAGGAAGCTAATGATATCGAAATAGTAGTCTATCAAACTTAACAATGCTTTTGTTGCATGAAGCTCCTGGAAAAAAGAGAGAGGCATTAACTTAGGGGGTACTCTGCACATCTAAGAAGTAGAATGTTTTTTGCTGCTATCTTCGAACTTGGCAAGAGTGGTGCATTTACCAAGAATGAAATGTTCCCGAGCAAGAATCCAGCAACTTCCCTACCCCCTTCCCACCCGTTTTCGATCCGCCCGGACCATTGGATAAATCTTGTCATTACGTAGGTTTTGTTATTTCAGGTGGCTAAAAGATGTGCCCAAGTTGAGTTTAGAACG